TATTATATAGTCACACCTCTATACAATCACTAAATTTAATGAAACCAACTCGGTGATTATATAGGGGTCTGACTGTACTGTATATAATAATGGATATTAAAAAAGAGACATTAATTTCTTAATAAAAGAATCATTAAATAAAATTAGATAAAACATATATTCAAAAAAATAATTATTAGTAGGATAAGGTTAGAAGCAGAATCTGGATCGACAAACAAAAAGCTATTAACAAATTGCTATTACATTTATTTAAAAAAAATTTTTGGAACAATACAAAGTTTAAGAATGTTATTGTTATTAATTGGACTAATTATATGAAAAAACTATTCGTTATGACTATATAGCTATTTTAGAAAGTGAATTTATACCCAACTTTGCCAACCGACCCACATAGAACCTAACACATGCGGATCTGTGGCCAAATCAATCAAACATTCAACTTGCTCTTTAACGCTAAAACATTTTTGGCATGCCTTAGCTCTTATATTATGATTAGGATCCCCTTGCGCAATTTTAATAATTGAAGGATACCATGGTTTATTTGAATGGCCGGCTTTCAATTCGTTACAAACGATATCTGTTATTAATCAAAACGTTAAGAACGTGTATAATAAATAAAAAAAAAAAAAGGAAAAATCTCAATTTAATTATGTAAGGATACTGGCTGGATTCTCAAGTTCAAGCTTGCGACGAGCAATATCTAATTTTAGTCGTGGATACCATTCCACGGTCTGTGAATCATCATCTCCAATTTCATTACTGCCACGATTTTCTAGTTTCATTAAATTATAAGTAAAAAAAATTTATTTAAACGAATAAATAATATGTTTATATAACTTACTTTGTTGTTTAGCTTGATTGAGGGCACGCGTTTGCCAGTCTAATAATGGTTCTTTAACAAAAATATCCATTGCATTTAACAAGATCTCTTTATTTGCTTGCATTACTATAAATGAAAATAAATATTATAGTCAGAAAATTTTATATATCAAAAGCTCTTGTTCTTTTATGGTTTCTTACTTTGCAATATTTTAATCATTGGATACTCTAAAAGCCCTTTAGACCCGAGAGGTTCCATTAATGTTTCTATCTGTTTAGTAAGTCTGAAAGGTATTAATTCTGGAACTTCTAATGTTTCTGTTGCTGAACCAAACGCATGACCGAAATCAATAGAGATCAGCGAACTCCTAATAAAAAATCAAATTATTAATAATTTATATACATAAATATATCGTACATTAATTAAAAAATTTCTCACTTTGAATCAATTAAGAAATTATCTAGATGTCGATCTCCAATACCAATAAGATATCCGCATATGTTGATTGCCGCATGGCACTTTATAAATTCGGATCGAATCGATAAATGTGCTTCAGGAGAAGCAGCAAGCTTGTATAATGCCTTTTTTAGCAAGTCATTTTTAATCCCTCTCTGAAGATCGTTGAAATGTTGAACCACATTATCACGATTTACTTTCATAAATATATTATGATAATCTATTTCAAAATAAAAATAAAAATTGAGATCTTATCGAATATAACTTTCAAATATAGCTCATTATATTTCGTACTTTGATTTTGCGAAACCCAGCGCGAATGCATTGATTGTGCATCAACAAAAACTTTTGAATCATTAAGTTCCTTTTCAATGAATGAGCGCATAGTCCCCGTATTATTAATCCATTCTATTATTCCAAGATGACCCGTTATTGGCACAACCTATAAAAAAATAGTAACTACATTTTAATAATGATTTAAGTAAAATAAAAGCACAAGTGTATAATTTTAAGTGAGATAACTTTGTAGGTCTTTTGTGTTATATTATGTTGGGAACAAAAAGAATCCTTTTTCATTATTTCGTTCATAAGTGAAAATAGTTGCTGAACTCTTTGATCTAATCTTAAATCTTCTCCTCCCTAAAAGAAAAAAAAAAGGTTCGGTATCGAACCTATATACAAGAAAAGCAAAATTATAAAATAAAGACTTACTTTCACAAGGAACTTATATTCATTACCGTCCGTTCCCAAAATAATAATTCGTTTTGGTTTACGTAATGAAGACAACACCATAATTGCGGGATCGAATTGCGCGATTTTGACATGTTTGCTTGGATCAGGAATATTTAATCCATCATATTGTCCCGGAATTTCAATTTCCTACATATAAAAAATACATGTTTAATTAACAACTGAAAATCTTGTTTTAAATCATAAAGAATACGTTCGTATTAATACTTTTTCAACATTCGAAGAAGAATACTCAGCAAGCCATGCAGAGTAAGATTTCAATAAATTGGCCCCCTCTTGTGCCTTTCTATTTTGACGTTTAATATGTTTTATGTAATAGTCCCATATTTTTGTCCTAAATTCGTCTTGTGACATTTTTGCTAATAATGAACCGTCTCTTCCTATAAAATTGCAATACATTTAACAAAAAAGATTTTTTTTTGTTGTTATAAAAATAATTCTTACCACAAAAGTTAAACAAATTTTCGGAATGTCGGCTTACAAATTCTTTAGGTAAGTTATGTTAAGAAATAATATGGTATTTTTTAAAAAAAAGATAATAATGAACGCAAAAGATGCCAAAAAAAAAAAAAACTAATAATATTAAAGGATATCAAATCTTCCATGATGAGGATTAGGATTTAATAAAAATGCGCTCATTTCTTGGAAAGAAGCCTTTATTTCTGCGGTTTTATTACCACCTGCATTCGCCTTAATCAAATTCTAATAAAATAAAAAGAATTAGTTCGAAATTCTAATTGAAATTTCTCTAAAGTTTATACATACAAAAACTGAACGTGCCCAATTATGGAAATGTAATTCAGAATCAGTGAGTCTATGAAGCTCATTTACAAATAAATCAGTAACATTGCATTTTATCTTTTGCTTCAATTCTTGAACTTTAATCTTATTTTCTCGAGCTAATTGTGTACTTTCATCAAATTTATAATATTCACTGCTGATTGTGACCGGATAATACAAACTTCCGGGGAGTTCTTCCGCAAGCTAATATTGTAAATTTATAAACATATAACAACATATAAGTGCAAATAATAGGAAGAATTCTTAAATTTCATTAATGCAATTAATACCTTGAATAATATTGGAAAAACACAACGAGCGATAGGTTGATCTAAGATCGCAACAATTTGAGGAATCCATCGAATAAATTTCCATACGGAATTAATAGATTCGACCTAGTAGAATTTATATATTATAACTATATTATAATTGATTTAAAATGCAATGAATCAATCAATAAATTAAATAAGCGCTTGCCTTCTCTTCAAATATAGATCGCGTATTATCATATTTTTCAATGATTTGAAGCAACCTTGGAAACATTTCGGTTGCTTCTTTTGAACCAGTTTCCATTGCTTGCAATATACTTTCTACTACATTAGAAGCATATTGAGTACGATCAAATATAGTTTGCTATGAAAAAAAAATGAATGATAAAATTATATTTTTTGACAGTAGCATGCAAAAAAAAAAATATAAAAAAAGATAAAAAAAAAAAAAAAATAAAGATTTTAAATAATAATCCATGTTATACCATTTTCTCCTCGGTAGATTCAAGTTTACGCAAAAAGTAATCGCAAAATTTAGCAAACTTGACAAGGACTTTAGAATGTATTGATGGCTATTAAAATAAAGAAGCATTAAATTGTGAAAAATTTATATTATTAAATTAATTTCTGTTTTTACCTTTGACTGTAATACATAATCCTTGGTTGCGTCATTAAAAAGATTATATCCTCGCTCAATAAAATAATTTCTTTTACTTTTAACTTTGGACAAGTTTCTATTAAGAAATCTCTTATCTAACTCTGCAATTATAAGTCCGTATGTTTCGCCTTCTATGATTCTCATTTTTATTTCATCCTTAGAATCTGAAATCTAAAGAGGAAAATTTTTAGAACAGATGTATATTGTAAAGAATCAAAAAATATTTAATGATAAAAATTAAACTTTAGTTCACCTTGATTTTTTTAAATTCCTCAGATAACGCCAATAATATTTCTGCTTTCTTTTCAGTATCGATTGCATTTTGAGCTTCGCGAAGGTTCAATTTAAACTGACAATAAGTCAACTTCTCCTCGTCGATAAGTCTCGAATTTCTTACTTTATTTAAACAGACTCGAGAAACCTCAAAGTTTCTTTGTTTTCGCGCGGCTGATGACATTTTTAACAAATTTTGGCTCTCTAATGAAACTTTCATTCTATGAAACTAAAAAGATAAAGTAATTTAAATACAATGATACTCTAATAAATAAAATGTGAATCTTGAAGTTTAATACTCACGTTATTTACTCTTAACCAATCAGCCATTTCATTGAGAATAGATTGACGGGTTGTCACGATATCATCCCATATATTGGAGGAATCAAGTGTTTTTGAAGGAAATCTAAAATAAAGCGATAATAAAAATCAATTATTTGCAAGTAATATTTTGAATATGTTTACGGTTGCTATTTTTAATTTTACCTCCTCATCCAACGCGAGATAATTGTGTTCCAAGTTTGATTCCTTTCAGAAGACTGATGAAGATTCAAATATTCTTCGATTTCTACAGTCTGTAAAGATTTGTTCGTTTTAGTTACTTTAACAAATTCTAACAATAGAGATATTAAATAGCTACCTGTTGTAAAGAGCTCAATTTACCCAATCGAGTACCGATTGCCAATGGATGTAAAGTAGACCATGTAAATAAGAAATCATCAAATGATTTTCGAACATACAATCGTGCTTGTTCCAAATCCTTTTTTGTTAGTGAGCTCAGTGCAAGTTCTAAATAATACTATCGGTTAATATTTTATGTTAAATGTCATTATTTCGATAAAACTATCTACATACCAATAGGATATTGCGCTGTTAGTAAGGATTTTTGATATTGATTATTCATAGTACTATTAATAAAATCGAAAAAAAGCTGCCGATATTCATTATGTTCGTCACTATGAGCTAATTTAAAGAAGCTATGGATAAAATATTGTAGATATATCTCCTGGAAGTTTAATTCAGAATTAAAAAAGGAATAGAAAATTTTAAAAATAATGCAATGAGTTTTCTAAATACAAACCTGTAATTCATCATCCCATAAGTTGCTTAAATTGTCTTCAATATCAACAAGAACGGTCTTTGCCAAATCATCCCATTGACACAGCTTTTCAAGACAATCAAAACGTCTTTCTTCCCACAAAGCGACCTAAACCAGATAAATATATCAAAATTTTATTTTTTGAACTAATATAATAAATGACACAAATTGCGACAGACCTCTATATCATCAACTTCAGCTTCACTCTTCAACGCTTCAAGATAATAACTACACGCTAAGGCATAATCTCCCAAAAGCTCTGCGTTAAGAGCATCTATAAACAATTTTCGGAAAACTATTAGATTTTTGTATTATAAATATCAAAAGTTTTCTTTATAATTCATTACCCTTTGTAAGTTCACTTATAGCTATTTTGCTTTCATAAATGCTCTTGTAAACATCATGACCATCAATGGATTTATATAAATGACTCAATTCAATCCAAGGCCTTTTGCTTGAAGCAACAAGGCTAGAATTTGTAGTACGTGACCTTTTGGATTCTAATCGAAAAATTAAATTAATCTTTCAATTTCAATTTTATTGTTCCGATGACAGGAAATTCAAACTTACCTCTTTCTGTGGAAGTGTATAATAGCTGCCGCTCTATTAAAATAATTCCCAGCGATTCCGTTGAACTTAAATTACATACTTTACGAATCGTATTCGGTTCTATTTCGATATCGCCGACTTCATAACAGATTCTTAAACAACTTCCAATAAAGGGTGGGAAGTTCATAGTGGATTTGCTAAATATATCTTGAATATGTTGAGCTATGTCTTTTTTGTATTCATTAATCATTTCATCTAACTGTAAATACCATTGAAAATTAACAGACTTGAAAAATAAAACAATTATATGACAACCCAATATTTTACCTGCATATTATTATTATCAATTTGATTATATATTGAAACAAATAGAGACGTGAACAACATCCGAGATAAACCCAAATCTCGCTGTGCTAATGCTTGTAACGGATTAATTAGATCTCCGTGACTAATTTCGATATCAGGAAGTTCACCTATTCATTGTTAATGTTTATTAATAATAGAGTAAAAGAGAGTTATTTGATAATACAGTTATAAAATTACTTACCAACTCGATATTTACGTAACAGTGAAATATTCTTTGTGAATATGCCATGCTGACTAGTTTTATATATTTCAGCTTGCTTTTTTTCTGTTCGTATTTTTTGTTTAAAATCGCGTTGGGAATATGTTTCGAAAGATCGTTGACTAAATCTTTGATATTCCGAACTTCGTATTGATCTTTTAGAAAATTAATTGATTAATGTATTCTTTCCTTATATTCTTCAAATTACTAAAGAATAATATTTACTTTTGTATATCGTCTTTATCCATATTTGGAAAATTTTGCTGTGAAAATAATAAATTTGACTGTGTCAAAGAGTAGCCAGCAACTTGAGAGCCAAGTTCTGCATTTTCTGATTAATTAAATGAAAATAAATAAGGGTATAATTATAATAGAAGGCTATTCAACAATCCTACAAATTATTTCTTGCCTGGATCTAGAGTCAAGCTAAATGCTAAGTCTTTATTAGTTGCTCGAATCAGACCATCTTGAGACGAATTCTATAATTATAAAGGATTAAAAATAAATAAATTATTCGCTAAATGAGAAAGAAGAATCACTTTTTTATTTTTACCTTTGGTTTATTTTTTTGCGAATTTACAAACAAAGGAGTCATTGTGTTATTCACTCGCCATGAAGTATCAATATCATCATAATTCTCATCAAATTTGGATTGTGGCAATGGTTGGTTAAATATAGGTTTTTTATAATCAATGCTTTTCTTGGATCCTTCAAGTAATAAGTAACAAGCGTAGTTGAGGAATAAATTCTCGGCTTCGGTAGAATAAAGATTTCTAGTCATATTCAAGATTAAGTAAGTATCTACCTTGTTTTTAATAGCAAAATTTATTAACACAAACCCAATAAGCTCTTTTAATTTCGTGAATGTATCACGTGAAAGTTCTTCTTGTACGTGCCAAAATTCAATTAATGCCTGCTGAATCGATTCATCTGTATCAACTAATCCTCGCAAAAGGTTTATTTTCAACTTTTGTTTTGTTTCTTTTTCTTTGTCATTAATTCCATTAATTTTATTATACATTTTGACCAATATTGTATAGTAAATTTTCTAATTACATTTCGAAAGTTAAAAGTTAAGGAATAACTTTTTTCTAAAGCAATAATAATAAATAATCAAAAGGATACTCGACAATCATTATTAGGATGGTCTTGGAAACTTTCAATTAAATTATCCAAGTAATAATCAAATGTTGAATTATCAACATCATGAAGTATACCCGATAATATTCTCAAGGCAAGTAATTGCTCATTTTCGTCTCTTTATAAATTCCATTTTAAGTTATAAATCAATAATAAGAAAGAAGGAATAATAGTAATATAAATGGGAGAAATATTCACCTGTGCTTTAAAAATCCTAGAAGTCGATCGCTTTGTAAATTCGTAAACAGATCCCGATCATGACCGGCACAAAATGAAATTATTTCTAATGCCAATATCTTTTTATTTTCTAATTTTGGCAGGATTCCAAAGACGTATTTCAAAAATTTAACAGCGACATCAACGTCGTGTATCGACATATGATGAATAACAATAAGGAAGTTTTCCATATCAGATACAGACGCATTGAATGAAACTTGTCGATACATTCCAGATATCTTTTCATAATTAAATTATGAACTCATAATTAGATTAATTTAGATTATTTGAAATCATTGAATCATTAAAATAAATGAACACATTACTTTTTGAAACATTGGATTCAATAAAACTGATAGAGCATCTGAACAATGAAATTTTCTCAAATTTTTAATAGCCAAACCACAAACCTACATATAAAGATTGTGAAACACAATTCTTTTTGATTCATATATACATAACAACTGATATACAAACCTCAGCAGCTAACGCACGAATACTTTGCTTAAAGCCATCTAGTAAATTGATTAAATCCACATAAAATTTATCAGAAGTTAATCCATCCAAGTCAAGTCCAACTTCATCTTGAAATAAGGGTTTGTTATGTGCTAAAACTATCCCTAATAATTGTAACCCTGTGTAAACTTTTTCGCTATTTCTTGTAGGATCACTGATGAGTTCATGAATAATGCGCTAAATTATTGAAATATTAGTAACGTTGAAATGATGATTCTCATTTTAAATATAAATAAATATACAAAAGTATCTTACCGTAGGTACAACAATTAATTCACTCCAAGTTTCAAATAATCTTTTAATGGTTAAAATGTTATTTCTAACGATAACGCGTGATTTATCGTACGAATTTTTCATCAAAAACACCTAAAATATTGAATAAAATTAAATTAGAAATATATATATATATATATATATATATTAATAATAACGAACTATGATTGAATACCATCAGTTCATATATTAGAACTTTATCTTGATAAGATTCTAATTTAACCAAAGAGCCCCAGACGGTGACGATTGCACATAAATCCTAAATACAAATAGTAAATAATAAATAGTAAATAATAAATAGTAAATAGGATAATATCGAGTATGAAAAACATAAAAATTTCAGATTACAATTACCTGAATGTAATAATTAATTCCTTCGCCATATACATTGCCTTCGATTATTAATTTCATAATGGGACGAATCCATAAAGAGGAATACTTTTCAAATGCCTCCGGAATATTGACTATAATTTTAGCAATAAATAAGCGGATATTTATATGCGTATCTGTTTCTAAGAAATAAAATCGTTAATAAATAGTAAATATACAAAAATTTACTTAAAATAAATAAAACATGATAAATGTTAGGTGAGATACCCTTAATTTCATTTCCTATATTTGTAAATTTTTTGTACATATCGTTCATCCACCCAGGCATTTGGTCATCGGGACCTGTTGACTTTGTTAATTGATTATGAAGCCGATCTATAACTCTAATAATCATTTTCATACAAGGGTGGCGATTGAAATCATCAACATCTAATCTACGTGCCTCAGAACTAATGAAAATGAATAAATTTAGATACGATTAGAATAAAATAAAAAAATTATTTTTAAAACTTTACTTCGAATTATTTTCATCTGGTTTATCAATATCCATTTGCATTAGGCCTGAGTATTCGTTTTCGGATTCGCTATCTTTGGTATCATTAGGTAATCCATTAAGGAAAGCACCACTCTATTTAACGAATAATATTCAACATCGTTATGTAATAAAATGAAATGGAAAGAGTATAATCACTAGATTTTTACTTGTGTTATGCTGGAATCCATCAAATATTGTGATGCAAGATTCTTCAAACCGTTCGACCTTATAAATAATATATTAAATGAGTGTGAACGAAAATTTAGCTTGTTCTAAATATGTATCACATTTGCTTACTTCAAAGATCCTCCGGACTTAGATCTAAAATCATCAACCTTTATCCTAGACAATGGTTGATTTATATCAACATTTATTTGATAACTTGTCTAAATATAATGAAAGTTAATTGGCTTAATAAATTTTCCAATTACGAATATTACAAAGACAATTATATTATAAGTATGTATATAAATAACCTCAATATCAATAATATTTTCCCATAATAATTCGCCCTTTGAAAGATTTTCAGAAAACAAGAAAGCTTTATAATAAACTGGGTTATTTTGTGTACATAAAATTGCAGCTGCCAAAGCATTATATGCCTCACAACGGTAATGCAAATTAGCTTCGGATACTAATTTATTACCGGAATTGTCCTAATAATTAAAGATTAATTTGAATTAAATATATAAATATACAAAATGATCAAGATTTTGACATTTAATTATGCTTACTTTATCTGCTTGTGACTTAATCCTATGTGCCTTTTCCATCACTTTTCTCGTCAATTCCTTCGCTTTTAATGGTCTTCCTTGACAATAAGCTTGAACGATTTCGCCATTTTCAGAATATATATCATCTTCGGAAGCACGAAGATAAAGAATGTGATTTTTGTTAAAGAATTAATTAAAAATGATAATTATTTAGAATGTCTGAACCCATTTGATATTTAAGGATATTTGTAATAGGGTCAATGATCCTGCTTTTTCATTAAGACCATAAACTTTTTCCTCAACATTTCTTGGATATTTATCATGCTCAAGAAGATTGATGATTTCATTAATATGTTTCTTATAAAAATCCAATACAAAAATCTTTGGACCTTCCAGCAAAGGAGGGGATAAAATCATCTCAATAATATTTCGTTGGAAGCTAATGTATGTTGGGTTCGTGAAATATCTTTATATATAGAACGGAAAATTAATAATTACTATAGGTCTAATTTATTAAAAGATAAAATTAATTATATTATTACCCGTAAGCTATATCCATTGTATCAACATATTTGGAACGAGAAAGCTTTGACAAAAATTTACTAATTTGTTGCTGAAATTCTTCTCCATATACATGATCACTCTCACGACAAAACGTGGGAATCAATATTTTAAATAAGCTCACGCTTCCGGATCTCACTATCGTCTTAAGCATTTTATCAAGAACCGACAAATATTCATTTAGTCTATATAAAAAAGCAATAAATCGTAGTAAGAACTTGTAATTTTTTAAAAACGCAAATTAAATTAAAAATACTTTTTAGTTCCAAACTTCGAATAGTCCTTAGAATCAGTAGGTATTTGTTGATAAAGGATGAATTCAATAGAGCTTTCAATCTAAAACGAAATGATAAAATGATAAATATTTAGATTATATTATGAAAAAATAATAATGTGCCTGTTTCAATAATAAGTTCACCTTTTCTTTTGGCAAATCCGATTTTAAGTAAAAAGTTAAAAGATCCAAAACTTCATTCTTGAACTCAAGGTCAACTTGTCTATCAAGGAATGATTCATAATTTTTCCGAAATAAATTTTGAAATTCTCCAAATTCTCCCAGTGAAAATCGTTTCAATAAATTCGGTTCCAACATAAATAATCCATTCCACAATTTTAATAAATATTTATGGTCAGAATTACATAATTTAACGCTGTATTACATATGAGAATCAAATCCAGATTATTCATTAAAACGATCCATTTACAAAAAAGCTATGACCGAAAAATAAAACATGCTTACAATCTCTCAAGAAAATAGATCTCTGAAATTAGCTATACGTAATAATATAAAATAGTTAACTTTATAATGAATTTCATAAGAACTATTCTTTACACACACTTACATCATTTAAAAACGTCAAATTCTGCTGAGATTCTTTTTTAGAGGCCAAATAATCAATTAGATTTAACATTATATCTTTAACAATAGCAACATCAATTGCAATAGTATTTTGTTCCTGGAGCCCACTAATATTTTTATAAAAGATATTAGCAAATTCTCTAAAATTGCATGAAATATGTTCATTGATCTAAAAATTAATGATTTGAATTAGTTTTGAAATTTCATGAATTTACGAATTAATAAATAACGATAACGTACAATCGAGGAGAACTTTTGGTAGTAAATCGTCCCATTTTGATGATAGAAATCTGAGTTATTGCTAGGGAATCCCTAAAATAATAAATTTAATAATGAAAAATCATTAATTATTTTAAAATATACAGCAAATGCAAAATCTTAGCGTAACCTACAATTATATCACTAAGAAGCCATTGGTTGATTGCACCATTATATTTACTAAGAGAAAGAGCAAATGATAATAGTTGCTTAACAAGGACAACCCACAGCGGATCTACGACATCACGGAGGTCATTGAATTTTTTCCAGCTAGCTAAAATGTAGTCATATAATTTTGAACTAGTGCTCATATGCGAAGTCATTTCGTGCTCTAATAGATCCGGAAAAAGTCCAGACAAGCTGAGAACCAAATACCCATCAGTAATTTGGACATAATATGTAGGATCTATAAGGATTAAATTATATTAACTCTAAAATTAATAATTATAACGAACCAATTTTGTTGAAAAGTGAATACCTGACTTATCTAATTCAATACTTAATAAATTGACTTCGTCAGAAAATGCAATTTCAGCGAGTTCTTGTGCTAACTGTTTCAATTGAGGATCATTACCGACAGACAATTTTTTAAACAACTCAAATAAGGTTCCCGATTGTTTAATTAGAAGTTTTTGTTTGATCATATCATCTGATAATTGATTTAATCCAATGGAATTAGGACGTAGTATGCAATTTCCTAATAGTTTATAAAATTTCTTTTCAAAGATATTTGAATTCCATATAGGTCTCAAGTTGCTTGGATCAGTTTCTTTGAGTAATACGATAGTAAATTCTATTAAGCATTTGATAACTTGAATTTTTTGCGTTAACCATTCCAATTTCTCTGCAGGCGTTAAAACACTATCAGATTCTATGTTCTTGACAGAGTAATCCTCGTCATCAATCTCCATGGCATCATTAACAAAGTCCTCCCTATCTTTTACAAAATTTTCCAAGAAATAATTGATTGCCTCTCTGAATGTTTGATCAAAACTCGAAACTAAATCTAAAGGTGACACGAACCTAACGTTTATAAGCCATGTGTAATTAGCTAAAACGGATAAAAGTCGTGCGCACCAATCTTTTATTTGTGGAGAAGTTAAACCTTTATGCAATATATTTGACAGAGAAAGTTCTGAAGTCTTATAAAGATTTTTCAAAAATGATGGGTTTCTATCAAGTCTAAATTTAACCCATCTGAAGCCGGATTTAAAATCTAAAGGAATATAACAGATCGTGGAAAAACAGAAAATATATTAAAAAAAAAAATCGTTAAATCAAATCTTTATAAAAAATACACGAAAAAATTACCCGGATGCAACTTCACGAATTCGTAAAATAATTCTCGACATATGCTTGAGTAATCTTGTTCTTTCCTACTTGTCTCAATAAATAGCCACTCAACCAAAGATGGTAAATCAGATTTGTCAAGATTGGTAAATTTTCTTCTCATAGGAGACTCGTTTAAAAACAAATTGGATTTTACAATAATTATTCTTTTCAGATGACGGATTGCTGAAATCGCTTGTTGACGTGTTCCTACAGAATCCATATAATTTTTATTATTTGAATGACTTCTTTTAACTTAATGATGAATGTAACTTACCAATTGCGGACTGATCATTGTCGGAAAGTCTTAGGTTGACTAATATCCAATATAAGAGTTCAAAGGTGAACTGATCAACTAAGTATTCTTCTTCACGGAATACTTGATAAATATGATTAATAGCAAGAGAAGCTCCAAGACGTTTTGTATAATCAGGATGTGCACATAAATTATATAACCGTTTCAATAAAGATTTCATATTCATCGGATGCACCTCTACTTGCTTTATTTTATGATAAAATAATATATTAGTTTATATGTACATAAAAAATAAAACATTTATAAGTGTATGAAATATTATTGTACCGTAGCTGAGGATTGTTTAATTGACCATATTAAGAATTCATTTAAGCATTCTGCACCATAATCTCTTAGTGAGCCCCATGTATCACATATCGCGTCAAGGCAACATTGTAATAATTTAATTGTTTCAGGGTTCTCATATTGTGCATTATTTGTATACCAATGAATTAATTGAGCAACAAGTCGACGAAAGATTCTTCGTGGGACGGGGTCGGTATCAATTGCCAATCTCAAAAGAGCAGGAAATATATAACGATATGTGCGAAGAAATGGACTCTGGATCAAATATTTGTAATAAAATTAATAATGAATCATTAAAAGAAATTTATTAATAGTTACGAAGTGATACCTGTGGTCCTGCTTTAAATGCACTTTTTCCAACCATAACTATAATAATTGAATGCAGTAATTCACAGGCAACGATCTTTGTATTACGATCCGGTGCAGACTCGGCAAGTTCCACTATACGCGGTAAAAACTCGTCTAGAAAAAAAAAATTTTTAACGTTTTTATAAAGAGTATTATATTCTTTTTTTTTTGACAAGTCCTCTTACCAAACAGAATTTCAACATTAATGTCGGGAAATGGAATCTTAAATGACAAGCGTTTATCAGGATCCCAAGCAAGCAACTTATTGTTTGACACTTTGGTTCCAGCTGGATTAATTGAAGGACTTGGTCGATAAGCCAAATCATTGTTTACAATTCCTTCAAACACAAATTTGCTAACTCCACCAAGCCTTCCTAACAAGCGAAGGATGCGCACTTGCAAATCATGTAATTCAACATTTTTTTCTAGTTGCCCGATCTATAAAATTAATAAAAAAAATTAATACAACAATAACACTGATACACATTAGTCGAATAATAAAATAAACATACGCCAACAATCGTTTTAACATATTTTTTTTGTCCTTTATATTTGACTCTGTCTTTCCTTGTTTGATCTAGTGACTTAAAATGTCCGCTCTTATTTCGTTGTGTGTTATGAATTTGTGCGAATCCTTTAATAGTATTATTGTCAATTGAATCAGCCTTAACTAATAAATACTCATTAAAAAGAGGCAATATTTGTCCCAGCCATTCACTAATATCCCGAGGTCCTTGTAAATCCACTAATTTTTCAATTGCACTTATACCAATAGTCGCGAGAGGTTGATAACTTAGTCCCATTTTTAATGCAATACAAATTGGCGACATAAGGTTACGTATGTTAATAAGTTCACGTGGAATAGAAAGAACAAGACGCAAACATGATTCCAGCAAATCATCCTTATATTGAGAAAGCTTAGCGGAAACTTCTTTGAAGAATTTAATGAAAAGAAAATAACTTGATCTTTGAGCTGGTGACGTTGTTGGGGACAATTGGTCTAGAGAGTCTTGCATCATAACATTCTAGTTTTATCAAATGATTTTATTAATAGTTCTCACATAAAAAATAAAATTAACTTTAATTTATTAATTTGTGATACCTCATTATCAAATCTCTTTATACCCTCAAAAAAGTTAATAGATTCACATACTGTCAGACACGAGCCTAACATTTTATAGAATCCACTAACATATGGATATCGCGTAGAAAATGTTATTAACGTGTCTCCAGCAAGATAGACCCATCTTGAAAATAAATTACTTTTTATTCTAGGCAAAAACAATTGCCAAAAATCGACAAGATTATGAAAAAGGGCGAAATCTTTAGAAACCAATGGTTGTAGATTTTCTAGGTCACCAGAACCTGCTATAGCTATCAAATTGACATCAACTCCTTGATTATTATTTTTCATTACAGATGTTTCAAGCATAGATTCTCCAGCGACTTCTGTAATGGCTAAATTTAAAGTCCGTATCATTCGAAATACTGATGACATAATTTCATCATAAAGTATAGAAAAGAATTCAGACTGAATGATGCATAATTGATTTCCATCAATTGAAAATCCACTTTGATCAATGATCCATGAGAAAGTTGAATCTTTAAATATATTTTCCCAAAAAAAGAACATTTCTTGATATGTATGTTCTGCAACAACATCGATCATATCAGCTGAATTTACGCTTTGGTAGTCAGATTTACTTTGAAGCTGAATAGCATCTGAACATGTAAGAATCAATATTTGATAAACTAGAGATAATTAAATTGATTAATATTCAAATGAGACTCATACAAGTTAATTTTAAAATGTTAAAAGAATTTCGTTACTTACATGATTTAGAGACAAATTTTTGCATAATTCCTTTATCCTTGAGATAAAACATCCACAATAAATGTTCAAAAGCATTAACACAACGACGCCTCAGATCATAATTCATTCGCGGAAAATAAATCATCAATATTCCCACTTCACGTTCGATTGTCTCCATTAATTGATGGAAGATTTCATCATCATCTCGCCCAATATAACAATATGCCTCAATAAACAATGGAACTTGTGACAACGAATACTTGATTTCAGTTTCATTCAAACTAAAACAAAGTTATTAATAATATATTAAAAAATAATGATTATATACAAAAAAATTTAACAATTTCAGTGCAAAATGCGTACTTTGATATAGACCAATCATTTGGATTAAGGAGATTTTGAAATATTGGTTTCCACTTCCCTTCTTTATCTAATCTTTTGGCGCAAGCAGCGAAATAACCAACACCACGAACTGCGATAGACAAATCCTTTTTTCTTTGCTCTTGTTCCTCTTCACTTAGCGGTTGATCTGATATTTTTTTGCTTTCTCTTGCCACATTATCAAAGACTATCATAAAATACTATAAAAGAAATGATCAAAAAAAAAACATTTAACGCGTTTTTTTTAGAAATGAAAATTATTAATATTTGATTAATCATAGCAACTTCTGCATTGTATAGTTTTTGTATCAAACCTACATCAACACAATCGAATTTTTGGAATTCCGTGGCAGAATTTAATACATTTGCAATCTAAGTTAAAAATAAAATGCATATTTTTTATTTTTTCTTGTGAATAAATTATAAAATAAAATAAAATAAAAATAAACTTCGATAACGCAAACCTGTTTCAAAAAAGTCCAAATAGCTTTAAATGTCGTGTACCTAACATCCTTATTACGATGGACACGTAATTTCCAAAAACATTGCCACATTTCTTTATATTCACGTAAGAAAAATTCCCCAAATATATTTGAATGATCAATTATGTATTGAAGTCCGGCTGATATAAATAATAAATTATAATTAATGGGTCACGAAAATACGATCATAAAAATAAAATTTAAATACTAACTTTTCGTTATACTATACATTCTTTCATTTTCAAATATTGTGATGCTATTCATAACGCATTTAAAGACATACGCATCTTGATTTACTTTTTTCAATGAATCCGGATAAGCAAATAAAAATGAATGCAACCCCGTAAATGCTGCATCCGTTAAAGATTTCTCTTTCAGATTAGCTATAAAAACACGAAGAATTTTGTCTTTTTCATCATCGACATATTCCGGAAATCGATGAGCAATTATTCCCAACATATCTAAAGCTCCCGCTTTAGCTAATTAATATATAAACAATTTTAGTAACTTCACTTATAATTTATGAAATTTTATGTAAACTATTAAAGTATATACCTTTTATTCCAGATGTGCTTTTTATTCTTACGAAGAAAATCTCAAGATAACTGTAAAAATAAATTAATGAATGAATAAAGTTTAACGCGTTTATTTAAATAAATAATTATCAATTATTGAAAATTACCGTGCAATTATATCCTTAATATTGAATTTTTCAGGATCAATAAATCTTTTACTTGAATCAAGAATCGCCATCAACGGTTTAAAAGACGCCGCTTTTACGAAAGCTTCGCTATCTACGTTAAGGATTCCAAAGTGTACATTCTTTTAAATTGAAAATATATTTAAATATTAAATTGTATTTTGGATTTTGAATATAAATAAATAAACAGAAACATGAACCTTGATGCTTTCTGTATATGGTTCAATATCAGACTTAATCTTTTGGATATAAAGAAAAAGAAATTCTAAAAGTGCTATCTTTGCCTTTGCTAATGTTGAATCAGTTACTCGTGAAGTATCGTTAAGAAATTTGATAATTCCAAATTGAGGATCAAATAGCAGCTGGGTTGCGAGACCTTTTATCACATGATACATGGCGCAGTTAATTATCATTTAGTTATTAAAAAAAAGATCAAAATTTCAAAAAAATCATAAAAGAGCATTACCGAGCTCTTGTTCTTCAATATTATTAAGAACTATTTGATCAATATCTTGACTATATCTAAGAGCTTCGCTAACGGCATCACCAAAGCTAGTCTTTTGCACTATATTTTGGCGGCACTTGTCAAGTTCTTGTAAACATTTTTGCAACTTTTCTAAGCCTGTCATGTTTACCTATTTAAAGTAGGCCTTATTCAAACTGATAAAGAAAAAATTTAAAGAAATATTAAAAGAAGAAGAAATATAACGTCCGGAACTGATCAACTTATAACAATTGCGGTTTTGGTAATTTTACCATTTGGTAACTTACCCGATTCCCTAACGCGTCACCAGATGATCTACGGCGGCGAAATTTTGACAAATCGGCCGGCGTTTATTTTAAAATCTGCCCTGCTTTCTGCGGCCTATAATCATCATTCTGCGAAATCAAAAATAAATAAAAAAAAAATTAATTACATCATATTTAATCATTTCAAAAAGAAACTTCTTTCTAAATTAATTTCTCCAATTTCCACTTATTCACTATCAAGTAAATATATTTAGGATCAAAATTTTAAACAGCTTAAAAAAGAAAAATTGGATAAAAATTTAAAATTTCATATGTATACTAAAATTATGAGAAGTAATAGTAGTATCAAATTCTAACTATAATTTGAAGAATTACAATTGATTTCTAAAAAATGCAGAAATGATAATAAAGGTACCTCTCAATAAAAGGAAATATAATCTTTAGAGGTTTTTTTTAATTTCCATTAACGCTAATTTTATGCCTTTCAAAATATATTATATATATTTAAACATTAATTGTATAAATTATTGATCAACTATAATAATTAAAATTAAACTCCGAATTAATTCTGCAACATGTTTTTTTTAATTCTTTTAGGTTTGTTTATGCTAAAAAATAATCAGTATCTTATATAAATTGTTTTACATATATAAAATAAAATAGATAATAACTGAAATAATACCAAATTCATAAGAATTAAAAAGGATTTGTAAAATATTTTGAAGAGTTACATTTATTAAATCATTAGTTAAATCATCTTAAAAAAAATTCCAATATAATAAATATATTTAATGTAATCAATCATTTTAAATCATGAATTTCTAATAAATAGAACAGAAAGTAAAATTTTATAAAAAATATATATTATATAAATATAAATGTATCAAATATCATTTTCTCATTAAATATTATTCTTTTATTTTAACTAAATTTTTTAAAATTTAAAAAATTAAAATTTTTATTATATTTTACTACAAAATTTAAAAAATTATATTTTTATTATATTTTAATACAAACTTAATTAATTAATATTATTATTTAATATAAGGATACCATTTAGGCCGTTACAATTTAAAAGTCTGTTTAACGTCGGGTTTTCTAAAAAAAACAGAGGGGAGGGGGGGCATAAAAAATTTTTTGCAAATCTACACTTTATAGTAATTTCGAAAAAAATGGGGGAGATTTTTTTTAATTATATTATTTTTTTATAAATGCAAAATATATTTTCTTGGAGGGGGAAAAGCTTTTTTTTATTTTTAAATGTATATTGTAAAGTAATTCTCATCATTATTATTTTATTTATTAAAAGATTACAATTCAT